GTGTCATTAGTGTTTTGAAGAGATTTTTGTTGCCCACAGGTTTTGTCTTATATGCAATATGTAGGATTAAAAGCTATGAAGAGTGTAATAATAATAATAATAAGGCTGCAATTTGAAACTGGACATTTGAGGTTGTAAGTTGTAACCCATATCCTGATGGTTGTGTAGTCTTGCTGTCAGTTGTTTGTCTTGTTTACTTGATACTTGACAAAGTGCTGTACACCTGTCCTCGCCTCATTTTCCTCTTTTACGCGTCACCTTGTTTTTTTCTCCTATTTGTTTCCGATGTGAGGGTCGAACTGAACGAGTGAGATAATGATCAGCATTATACATATTCACCAGAGACGTGCCTCTGACATAATATAATTGGTTCATAAGCAATCCAATTTGTTTTCCGACATGGATGATCAAAGCCATACCTAGTCCAGGTAGTTACACCGTTGATACAGAGACTGATCGGAGGAACATGCTTTATGATACAGTCTGTCTGCTGAGGCCTCTGGTTACATTTATTCAGCTGAAGGTGACAGGAATGTTCAGAGGACATCTGGTATAGTCTGTCTAACAACATATATTAAAGCTTGTACCTCAGTTTGGGTGTTGTTCATTGATATTCTTCCCTGTGGGGGTGTTCATATTCATTATTTTGCATCTTATATCCTTTTCCCACTTCCATGTTTTCTCATCCAGTCTTCTGTTATTAAAGTGGACCCGAGTGCAGCAGCACTGCAGACCTGCGTGTCTCTTCTGGTTAAGTTTAGAATGAAATAGAAACAGGGTCAATTAGAAACACCTACTCAAGAAGTTTCAAAGTCTGAATGTTGATGTATCTGGGCCTCTATTTCTTCAGTGTGAAACGTGATGGACCCAAGTGTTCAGGCAGTATTTCTTATGAATTATTAAAGTAGCAGGTTGACTGTGTTTTAGGCACATTTCTTAAACTTTAGTACTTTTGGTTTGTTGTGGTCTACTTTTGTGAAAAAGGTATTTTTAATACAAATAGTTGACACTCTTGTGTTTGTGTCACTGAAACCAGTTAACTGTACATATATCATGGACTCTGGAATTTTTTGAATTATATTTATGCTCTCTTTACAGGAACAGATATAATATAACCAGACTGAATGTTCATTTGCTGGTATCCTATTTTGTTTTTGCACCAAAATCTTCTGTTGTATGATTTATTGAACATCAGACTTATTGAGGTGGGTGCAGAAAGTTCAAGATTCATGAATTCATGCTTTATTTTATGTTTTAATTGTCTTTCCAGCTCTAGAATCAGTACAAAAATAGAATAAAGAATTTGACCCATTATAAGACTGAACTGAATACAGCACCTCAGACTGAGGAAGTCTTTCGGATGAAAGACGAAACGTTTCTACATTTTTTGTTGTTGTTTTGCTTTGTTTTGTTTTTGAATGTCCAGAGGACCAGATTTAACTTTTTTAGATTATCAGTCAGGTTTTTAGACCTGACTATTCATGGCTGCAGCCTCATGCATCTTCTATCTTGAGAAGTGTTCCTCTGCCAGTGAAAAAATACTGATATAGCCTTCTGGAATTAAGAAAACTAAATTGAGATAGGTTTGAGATGGGCTTAAGACGCCCACAACAATTTTTGTGACTAGTTTGTAAGGTCATTTGTCAAACAATTTTTAAAAAATTGCAAATCTAGTTACAAGACTGCGAGCTTTGGTGACTCGCCAAACTAAGAAGCCCTGCAAATGATTTGAGACACTATGGAGGCTCACAAATGCTGTTTGCCAACTAGTTGCAGAACCAATTCAGCGTTGCATTAATGCCACAACAATAATAATTCTCACGATTGTATTTTGACTGTTCAAAGCAGTGCAGTAAACATTTTACTACCACTCCAAGCCTGACCTAAAGTCTGCATTAGTGCTCAGGCAAAACAACACCCTATTACAGTGTTTAGAGCTGCAAATATAGGGTACAGCAATCTGCAAAGAAAGAATAATTAATATTCAAATGTAGCATCCTAATAAAATCATATGTTGAAATGATGATGAAATAGTCTGGATGCTTTAGTAAGAGGGAAATGTTTCAGGGAATTTAACATTTTACACTGAAAAGAAACCCTCGTTTACAGTATCTGATGACACACTGGCACTATGGGACCACTAATGTGATGTAACTCGGTCTACTATGACTGGAATACAAAATTTAATGGCTCAGAGCTGGAATATAAAATCTCTGATTCGCAAACATGTTTTTTCTTTTACAGCAGCTTGATTTTTTTATTTTTTATCCTTGTGTGCTGATTTATTTACACCAATCAAGTCTAAACAAAAGCTTCAAGATGGCACAAATTAAGTTCTTAAAACAGGAAATATGAATCTCAGTGTGTTACTACTTACAAAACATTGTCTGTTAAAAATGGCTTCTACATTTTCTTTTAATACAAGCTAATAAATTATCTTCAGTAGTCGTAGCACAGCCTGATCGGGAGTTTGAATGTCCCTGATAACTGGTGGCACATGTGCTGCCATAATGAGACAGATTTGGGCGGATTAGGCACCAAGTGGTGATGAGAAATGGCAGCCAGCATGTCAGCCCTCAGCAGCAGGGAGAGATCCAGCCTGTAGATTCACGGCCTGCCTGCCGGTGCTGCCCTCCACAGCTTTTTGGCAGTTTGCTGCGCCGAGCTTTCGGAGAGCTCGCAGATTCTGTCGGCGCTTTAGATCGTCTGCCGTCCTCCTTCACGTGAAATGTTTTGGCTCGACTGTCTGTGTCTTCAAAGGGAGATAAAATATTTGAAATTTAACAGTAGTTATTTACTGAAATTGGGATTTCTGGAGCTCTAAATAGAATTTTTTTCTGAATACACTCTCTTTGGTTTACATTTGTGCTCTCAGTTAGTGCCTTCCTTCCTTTCTCTCACACTTGCTAGCTTCCTGTGTGATTTTAACACCTACTGTGAGCCCAGATGCCCGACACTCCAGGATCACATAAGCTCTTACTTTGTAGTGTCTTGCCAAACATTGGGGCTTCCTGGCAGCATTCGCTCTCGGACTGTTCATACTGTACCTTCAAGGTGAATGTTTTAGCAGTTCTTAACCCTCTGCAAGTTGAGAAATATCCAATAATTCTTTAAAAATCTTGTCTGAAGACAAAGGCGATAATGTTTTTGCCTGTGCAAAATATCATTATAATATTGCAAATTATCTCATGAACCACTGGACAGATTTTATTAAAGCGTTCAGTACTTACTGAATGTGGATCTACATCTGATTATCTTTTGAAGTAAATCCCATTCAACATGGCCGCCACAGCTAGGCTGACTGCAAACACAAAATGTGCCATAGCTCAACCAATTGTACAGATAATGACATTTGATGATGTAATAAAGAGTCATTCACAACACATACTCTGAGTGTCATCTGATCGCACATCTGTTTTAAAAAATGTTCCCTTATCTATTAGAGTAACTCTGCCTGTCTGTTAGCAAAATATTTTACAAACCACAGGACAGATTCTACTGAAGCCTTTTAGCAGTAAACACTGGATGAACATCGACAACCTCGTAACTTTTGGCACCTGATTCAGATCTCCACTACTTCTAATCCACCTTAACCTTTAAATTAACAACTGTAACTGACAAGTTTACAGACCATAAGATAAAAATTGGCCTGGTGAGCATTATCACCAACATATACTTTCAGCACTACACATTGTGCTAGGTTGTGGCTTAAAACTGTGTCATTAATTGTTTGCATCAACCCTGTTTGTCTGTTAGTAAAATATCTTTTGAACAACTGAGCAGATTTCAAGCTCCTAGAGTATCGTATGCACCAGCGAACGGCTCTTAACAAACCTCTCAAAGTCATTTTTTTAAACGTACACCTAAAAGTCAATAATGTTTGGACACAATGGTTGCCACTGCTAATTGACCATGACCATTTATCCAAAGGACTTCATCAGTCCAAGGAGCCACAACAAACTCAGTCCCACAAGCAGCACACTCACATAGTGGACCAACCAGTTTGATGGTGATAAGACGGTTTCTGGAGCCCACCCTCTCCCCCATTGACTCCTCTGAGGCAGCCAAAGTGGATCCAAACTTTGTTGGATTTTGTACCTGGATTATTGAGCATGAACTTTGATGTTTTGAACCACTTTGGCTATAGCTGCCTCAGAGGAGTCGACGGGGGAGAGGGCGGGCTCCAGAAACCATCTTATCACCAGCAAACTGGTTGGTCCACTATGTGAGTGTGCTGCTTGTGGGACTGAGTTTGTTGTGGCTCCTCGGATTGATGAAGTCCTTTGGATGGAGGATGAAACGTCTCCACAAAAAAAGAAACTGTCCAGATGACCTGACTGAACTTTGCTGGATTTTTTATCTGGGTTACTGAGCATGAACTTTGATGTCTTTAAATAACATGAGATCACACCGATCTGCTGTAACTCCGCCCCTTCTCATCAGAAGACAATATAAGTTTAAAACTCAGGCTTGAAAGGTTGCAGTCGATGTGCATGCCTTCAACCAGTGCTAAGTCTTTAATTTTATAATTTTAAAAGCCCATTTCTGCAGCACTATTACTTTTCTTGTTCCCAGCAGCTCGGGGACTTGCATTTTCCAAATCTGAAGAATCCTCTCAGTGAGACAGTCCCTGGGCAAATAAACAACAGATGCTCAAATGTCTTTTTTGACTCATGCTTGATCTTCAGTATCGTGTGTCTTTTTCCTACACTTCAGCGGTGTTACAGTGTGCAGCGCTGATTTATTTGTTTTCAAAGCAAAGTGTGATGTAACAAGTCAGTGATCCTGTGTAGCTCTGTAGGTGGACCAGGAATAGTTAAACTCCTTTGTTGAGAGATGCATCAAAGGGTTTGTTCTGATGTTTCACTGTAAATACCGCATTGTGCATTGTAATGGTTTTAATTCAAATATGTTTTCTTTTGATATTATGTGCAGAAAAGTCGAAAGGAATTCTTTGTTCGCTCAAAGTAAAGACACTTTTTTTATTCCTGTTCACACAGGCTACCAAAGAGCTGAAACAGTATGACAACAAGATCATCGAGTGCAGCTTTGCCAACAACAGCTGGGTGTTCATGAGACAACGAGTGGACAAAAGCTTCCCCAATTCCTACACCACAGCCATGGGTGAGGCTTTGTTCTTCCCTCTCAGGCAGTTCTGTTTTAATATTTCACCCTCTCGGCTATCTGCATCTGTATCAAAGTGAAAAATGAGCAGTCAGCTGGCGATTAATGGCTTATTTTATCGGTATTTTAAATCAGCCTGGTCTCAGATTCGTGCTTCGTGAGATTGCGTGTGCGTTTGTATGCTTTGTGTGTGTAGGGGCAGATGTTCTGTTGTGAATACACTCAAACAATCTGGTCTCTACTCCGTGCCCAGGACAAATTGTTTTCATGGCGTCCTGTGTTTGAGTAGAGAAACTGATACGTTACTGCAAAAAATACACACATACATACATATATATATATATATAATATATGTTGAAAAGTTCAATGGGGCCGAATACTTTCGCAAGGCACTGTATATACACACACATATACCTCTGTTGTGAACAGGCAACCAGGAGGCATTCTCAGTTGAAAATCCAGAAAATTAGATGAATATTACTGTTTTAATAATAGAAGTTTAGCTGACAATTACATCTAATAATGTGGTGCATGCTGCACAGCACGAATGTCACTGAACACTCAATAGTTTTTTCCTCTGGTTATCAGTTTTCTGTACTGTGTGATACTGACTGCACAAAGGTCGGGCTGAACTCTTCAAACCGAGTTCAGGAAGTGAACTGTAGCGTCTGTTTCTCTAGAACTGTGGCTAGAAACTCTTTATTTTCACTGCGTCAAACTCCACAATTAGGTGGCAGTTTCAGTCATTCAAATTTTTTGAGGAAGCCAACAAACTTTGGCTTAATTTCTTCCTTCTTACTCAAACGTTGCGTATAAACAGGTTTGCGCAGACTTCGTTCAAATTATCTTGCAAATAATTGATTACTAATGTACTATTTATGCATATTATACTAGTACAAATACATTATTATTTGCTGCATAGTCTCAACATAGTAGAAACTTTGCCCATCTTTGATGTGGAGACCAGGGAGCCCATCTTCCCGACCTCCTGCTGAACAATGAGTCTCTTCATGACAGCAGCGACAGGAGGATGAAGACACAAAGAAGATAAGTGATGACACACACTTGTCAGGCAGTTTATTAAGTCAAGAGCTTTAGATAATCATTAATTTGGGCTGTTGTCTGTCAGGTGTATTTCTTCAGACATGCAGTCTAAATTGATCAAAAATCCTTCACTCTGGAAGAGGGAGTAAAGAGTCACCTGTCACCATAAATCTTTTTGTTTTGTGAGTTTGACAGCCTAAAAAAATTCAGCTATTACTTTTTTTTTTTTCTAGAAATAACCTAAAAGGGATGGACTTGAGCTGCATAATAATTATCTGCACATCCTTTAAATAATCACCTCTCACAGTCAGGTGCATCCTTTTTTATTATAGGGCTTTAATAATAATAATAATAATAATCTGGTCTTTACAGAGTGCTAAAACTATTTAAATCTAATCTCAAATGTGCAAAAACACAACAAATTCCACTCTTTCATTATTTTATTTATCTATTTATTTATTTTAGAAAACAACAAGCCCCAACATGTAAATGTGCTACTAATCAAATGTTTTGTAATTGAATGCAGGTGTGATTACCTCCATAAAAGCAGACGTTTTGTCCGGTTGCTGCTCTGGAGCCTACATGTGTGTGTTAGCACAATATCAAGGAGGAAAGGTGTTGATTGTTGTTGCTCATCACTTTAAGAAGGGTGATAAAACAATTTACAAACTCTTGGGGCACATTTAACATGAAGGAACAAATGGGCTCAATGCACCAAAATATATTTTTTTAACTCATCACCCATTGATTTCCATTTATGTTTGGAATCTGTTGGAACCAGAGTTTGTTGGAAAATTATGACATTGTTAAACAAACTAATATGGATAAAGTTCATGATCAATAATCCAGGTAAAGAATCCAACAAAGTTATGTCAGGTCATCAATTTTTTATATATTTTTTTGCAACATTTCGTCCCTCATCCAAAGGACTTCTACATGCTCAATAATCCAGGTACAAAATCCACCAAAGTTAAGTCAGGTCATCTGGACGGTGTCTTTTTTTGTTGAGACGTTTCGTCCTTCATCCAAAGGACTTCATCAAAACAGATGGAATTCCAACAGATTTTTAATGAAGCTGAAGCCAACAACATGAACTTTTGACCATGCATTTTCCAGCTTATGCACGTATGTAGTCTTTCTATAAAATATATTTAAATAAAACAAAGACTCTAATACAAACTACAACAAAATAAATTATTCAATGACTGAACATTAACACGTTATTGCTTGTTTGATAATTATTACCAGTATTAAATTTGGTTGGATCAAATAAATATGTTTGTAAATGAGGCCACTTGTGAAAACAGACCCACAAAAATCTCATGCTGAAGTTTTATGACACTTTTCTGGGGCGACTGTGTCTGAGCGGTTAGAGCAGTTGTCCGCCAATGGGAGAGTTGGGGGTTCGATTCCACCAGCAGTCACTTGCCAAAATGTCCCTGGGCAAGACATTGAACCCCTCATTGCCTCCGATGTGTGTCCCATCAGTGTATGAATGTGATAAAGCTCTGATAATTCTTTATATAGATCTAGTAGAGTGCTGTATGAATGGGTAAATGAGGGCACAGATTGTAGTGTGAGTATCTTGATAAGATAGAAAGGTACAAGTACAGTCCATGTGTTATTTACCATTTTCTTTGGATTTCTTTGATTTCATGATGTGTAACTTCACTGTTCTGACTGTTCGTCTCCACGTTCTCATCATTTTCTTTCCTCCAGCTCCAAATCTGAAGAAGTGAAGTTTAGTTTTTTACATTACAGAACATTTGGTAGCTACAAACATGAGACAAATCAATGTTTCCGCACTGTTAGCTTGAGTTGTTGTGCAGTTACATTTCTGTACATTTCTTAAACTTTTTAAAATATTACAACTCATAATAATAATGAACTTATAATTGGATTTTTTTCAGCTGATTTAAAATTAAAAGGCTGCTGTTTAGTTTTAAAAGAGTCAAATAGGACCTAATTTCACGCTTCATCTCAAGAAGAAACAAGTGATTAACTCTGTTTACTTTAAAGTATCTTTACTTGCGGTACTATATTATAAAACCCTGCTGTATTTGCGTTTAAAGGAAGTAAATGTACAACAGAAAGCAGATAATGGAGAATGCTTTTCAGCACTTTCTATATGCTTTTTATCTAAATGTTTGCATCAAATGGCTGCACCAAGGCACTTCATAAATGCAGAAAATGAAAAAATAAAAACAAGAACATGGGGGGGGAATAAAACTGCATTTGAAGTATGAAATGAATTGACTGAAGATGATGGAAAATATAGTTCTTGGTTATTTATCTTTAGATTTTGCTGGATGCTGTGAAACACCTTCAGAGCCAAGATTGCAAATGTATCTTTAATCTAAAATCTTGACAGACAGTATTGCGTTTCTCGTGGAACAGATAACACGTTGTTCCATTTAGCAACTGCAAATAATCATTAATGTGTTGCTGGTACCGTGGCACGGTCACGAATGTGCCAAGGGAGCTGTGAAGTAGGATGAGCTATTTTCAGCACCACTTGGTTCCTGAAATTAAAACCCATTTCGTTTTTTGAAAGAAAATCAAAAGTTTGAGCAGTTCTATATGAGATTTGGCTTGAGACACATGATTGAGCAGAAAAAAAAATTATTATTAACATTTAAATTAAATAATTTATTTCAGTTTTGAATGTCTTTGATGAGACAAACAAGTTGTTTTGTATAAAATTACACAAATCTGTTGAAGTTAAAACTCAACCAACCAATACATACAAAAGAAAATCTACAGAACATTAAAGAACAGAAACAATAGTTTTTTTTTAAAAATCATCACAATCCACTCATAATTTACAAACCGGATTACAAAAAAGTTGGGACACTAAACAAATTGTGAATAAAAACTGAATGCAATGATGTGGAGGTGCCAACATCTAATATTTTATTCAGAATAGAACACAAATCACAGATCAAAAGTTTAAACTGACAGAATGTATCATTTTAAGGGAAAAAATCTGTTGTTTCCAAATTTCATGGTGTCAACAAATCCCAAAAAAGTTGGGACAAGTCCATTTTTACCACTGTGTGGGATCCCCCCTTCTTCTTACAACACTCAACAGACGTCTGGGGACAGAGGAGACCAGTTTCTCAAGTTTAGAAATAGGAATGCTCTCCCATTCATGTCTAATACAGGCCTGTAACTGTTCAATCGTCTTGGGCCTTCTTTGTCGCACCTTCCTCTTTATGATGCGCCAAATGTTCTCTATAGGTGAAAGATCTGGACTGCAGGCTGGCCATTTCAGTACCCGGATCCTTCTCCTACGTAGCCATGATGTTGTGATTGCTGCAGAATGTGGTCTGGCATTATCGTGTTAAAAATGCAGGGTCTTCCCTGAAAGAGATGACGTCTAGATGGGAGCATATGTTGTTGTTCTAGAACCTGAACATAGTTCTCTGCATTAATGGTGCCTTTCCAGACATGCAAGCTGCCCATGCCACAAGCACTCATGCAACCCCATACCATCAGTGATGCAGGCTTCTGAACGGAGCGTTGATAACAACTTGGGCTATCCTTGTCCTCTCTGGTCCGGATGACATGGCGTCCCAGTGTTCCATAAAGAACTTCAAATCGTGACTCATCTGACCACAGAACAGTCTTCCATTTTGCCACACTCCATTTTAAATGACCCCTGGCCCAGTGCAAACGTCTGAGCTTGTGGAGCTTGCTTAGAAATGGCTTCCTCTTTGCACTGTAGAGTTTCAGCTGGCAACGGCGGATGGCACGGTGGATTGTGTTCACTGATGATGCTTTCTGGAAGTATTCCTGAGCCCATTCTGTTATTTCCTTGACAGTAGCATTCCTGTTTGAGGTGCAGTGACGTTTAAGGGCCCGGAGATCACGAGCATCCAGTAGAGTTTTACGGCTCTCTGAATCTTTTGATGATGTTATGCACAGTTGATGATGATAACTTAAAAGTCTTTGCTATTTTACGCTGGGTAACACCATTCTGGTATCGCTGCACTATCTTTCTGCGCAACAATGGTGGAATTGGTGATCCTCTTACCATCTTGGCTTCTGAGAGACACTGACTCTCTGAGAAGCTCTTTTTATACCCAATCATGTTGTCAATTAACCTAATTAGTGTTAATTGGTCTTCCAGCTGTTCATTATATGCTCAATTTCCTTTTTCCAGCCACTTATTGCTACTTGTCCCAACTTTTTTGGGATTTATTGACACTGTGAAATTTTGAATCAACATATTTTTCCTTTAAAATGTTACATTTACTCAGATTAAACTTTTGATCTGTCATCTATGTTATATTATGAATAAAATATTGACATTTGCCATCTCCACATCATTGGATTCTGTTTTTATTCACAATTTGTTTAGTGTCCCAACTTTTTTGGAATCCGGTTTGTAGAATTTACATTTTAACTACGGTATTTTTTCTGCTTTATTGTCTTAATAAGATCATTCCAAATTGGACCATCTGCATTTTGTTTTTGCTGTCCATTATTAAGAATTTCTCACAAGTAAAAGTTTTCCCAAAAATATAATTATGGTCTAACGAAGGCTATTGTTTACAGCATTTAAAAAAGTTTTTTTTTAAATGTACATTATTTGTCTGATTTGCAAATCCAGAGCATATAAACGGATTTTTTGGGGGGGTCATATTGAAAGAGGCTTTAGACAGTTCTGGTATATTATTCAAATATTTATTTTATAAATGTAGGAGCCTAAATGCTTTTTGTTTAGCAAATTTTAAAAGTGAGAAAAGGAAGAAACATTGTTACTGAAATAAGTTCAAGTTAATATGTGTGTGTTTTAATAATTATTATGGATAACTATTTGATGAGGAATTTGATTGATAAAGTAAAGCAGGAGAAGAGGGGGAGGTATTTGACCAGTTTTTTGACCTCTCACTACCTCTCTTTTGCCTTAATGTTTTTCTTTTATTTATACTTGGATTTTGGAAATTTAAGTCTTTTTGCTGTTTTATATAGAAACAGTTTAAGCTTAAACATTCTGGTCCTGAGGATTTTTTTTCAGATGGAGAGGAAGAGTTTGGAGCGTCAAGCTAAGACTCCATGAAAATTATTTTTTAGAAACATACGCTGTTTAAATTTTGGATCCGTTTATGTTTCATGTGTTTTTCCCCAAATTTCTATACATGTGACTTATATGGTTTTACAAGAAAGCAGTACATTACAAACTTTTGTCATAATAGTCATAATTTACATAGAACAGATAATTTAGGGAATTCATGTTTAACATGAGAGTGTCACTGTGGCTCAGTTGGTAGAGCTGTTGCCCCTCAGCGAGAAGGTCGCTGGAACAAATCTTAGCCTGGGACCTTTCTGGGTGCAGTTTGCATGTTCTCTCCGTGCTGCGTGGGTTTTCTCCGGGTACTCCGGTTTCTTCCCACAGACCAAAAACATACATTTTAGGCTGATTGGTAACACTAAATTGTCCGTAGGTGTGAATGACTGTGTGAATGGTTGTTTGTCTTGTTTGTCTCTATGTGTCCATGTGATGGACTTGCAACCTGTCCAGGCTGTCCCCTACCTCGTGCACAGTGACTGCAGGATATGGGCACCAGTGACCCAAAAAGGAAGAAGCGGGTAAAGATAATGGATGGATGACTGTTTGATATATCCTGCATCTGGTTTCTGAATGAGCTAAAAAAACATTTTCTTTCTTTAAGAAATTGTTTTTTTGTACTTCCTGTACACACTTCAACACCATTTAGCTTAAGCATTATGTTAAAATGGTCCCTAAAACCATCAAACGTGATCAATTTGATTTGTTTTACAATAATCTGTTTTATCTTTACTGTGTATACTTGTTATTTTATATGAGTTACTGGATACTGGACTGAATTGGGTTGAATCATCTAGAAACGTTTCATATTTTAACATTTAGTTTTATTAAAAACATGTTTTACAAGTATAAATAACTTGGGTCTCAGTGTTAAGCCTTGTGGAACACCTTTGAAAGTTGTGTTTAGGTTTGATTCTGTTTTCTTAATATTTACATACTTTAACTTGTTTTCTAATTTCCTCCTTCATGTAAGGCAGTATTAGGTTGTTTAATTTTAGTGGGGCAGTTGGGTATTTTAGTCTGAAACAATCATTAATTTGCTGTGTCTGGAAAAGCATGCCAGTGTCTCTCTGTTGACTTCCTTCCTCTCGTCTGGACTTGTTTTTTTTTTTCTCCAGCTGTGTGTAAAAGCATCCAGGAACCTGTCACTAAGAAAATCCTCTTGGAGTTTTTGGACCGCTGTGCTCAGGGAGTCAACGCACAGAACCGGAAACGCCCATCTGACCCAGACTCTCAGTTGATGCCTCCTCCCCCTCCCAAAAGACCCAACTTTGAAACCCCATAGCCCACAGCTACGTGACTGTGTGACTGCCCCACAGTCCCACTCTACATCTTCATCACCAGCTACAAACGTTGTGCAGAAAACAAACATTTCGGGCCTTTCTTACTGTACCACATCTGCTTTTTTCAGCCTGTACATGTAAGAACTTCAGAGAAGTGACTCAATGTGACTCATTTGTAGACTTCTTTGTAGCTTTATTTGCTTGTGTTCTTATTAAAATGCAACACTGTATGCTTAGGTAATAGATTTTTGATTGTTTTTGTATTTATTGTTTTTTGTTGTTTTTTTTAAGTCTGAGCTAATTGATATTCATTAAGAAGGATTTGATTCTGGCTACAAGTAACACCTGGTCAATTTTATTGGTTTACATTTTGTCAATTAGTGCTTTAGTTTAATTTGAATGAGGAGTAAACATCATCAAACCTCAATCTGCTGTCTTTATGAATTTAGTTTCCTCCCACCAGCAATGATTTCAGGGATTAAAACAAAGCTGCTTGGATTTGAGGTTTTGATTTACTGAAAAATGTTACTGGTTCTCAACTTCAAATATTCAATTGGGAGATTTTAAATTGTTTTAAATTTATTATCAAAACGCGTTTGGTTTCTCTGGGTGCTTCCGTTTCCTCCTACAGACCAAAAACATGCATGTTAGGCTGATTGGTATCTCTAAATTGTCCCTAGATGAGTGAGAGAGTGAATGGTTGGTTGTCTCTGTGTTACTGTGATGGACTTGCGACCTGTTCAGGGTGTCCCCCGCCTCTCGCACAGTGATAGCTGGACATGGGCACCAGTGACCCCTCCACGACCTAAAAAGGAAGAAACTGATAAAAGATAATGGATGGATGGAACCACATTTGGATAACTACAGTGTTTTCAAGGTAGGTACAAAGAAGTGAAAACAACAAGCTCAAGCTACAAATGGGTGACTAGTCCCTCACTACTTTGCGGTTCGTTAACCGCAGACGCGCTCTATCGCAGTTTTTCAAAATAAGGTTAGACATGACACACAATTGGCTGATTGATGGATGAGCCACACGATTGGCATGGAATTTTTATTTTAAATAAATTATTTTAAATTATTTAGCACCTGCTGCACCTTTGTGCATCCCACACTGCAGGATAAGCTTCCTGCTGCAGCTGATCAGCTGTTATCCATGCAGAGCTGAGAAGTGGGCGTGGCCAAGAGTGCATGCAGGTGGCAAAGAGCAGAGGAGGCAGAGACCTGAAATCATGACATTCTGTGCTCTTTTAGAGCGTTTAGAGTTTAGAAACATTGTTTGAAATATTGCAAGAGAGTGGGAAGGTTTTAAAATGCCTTTATACATACACACACATACATA